AAATGCCACCCACATACCCTCCAGCCTGTGGGGTTCATACCTTGCTCCCAGATCCCATGTCCAAGTGCATCTGCTGTCATTTCAGACCAACCATCTCGTTTTCACTCCGAATCAAAGAATCTGATCTCTTTTCTTATTTTTATTGGTTCATTTTCAGATACTGTAGAAAAGTCAGAAAACACAGAGGAATGTAAAGAAGAAAAATTTATTTCACTCATTATCACTCAGAAATAAAACACTGGACACATTTTGGGATATTTCTTTCCAGATGCTTCCTGTGCCCATAGAAATATGCTTTTAATGAGTCCGGGCCGATGGCTCATGCCTGTAAACCCAGCACTTTGGGAGGCCGAGGCGGGTAGATCACCTGAGGTCAGGAATTCGAGACCAGCCTGGCCAACATGGTGAAACCCTGTCTCTACTAAAAATACAGCAATCAGCCAGGCATGGTGGTGCACACCTGTAGTCCCAGCTCCTTGGCAGGCTGAAGCAGGAGAATTGCTTGAACCCAGGAGGCAGAGGTTGCAGTGAGCCGAGACCGTGCCATTGCACTCCAGCCCAGGTGCAAATGAAGGGATACACACCACTGTGCCTGTTCTTTACAAAATCGTCATAGAATCTTCAGGCAGGACCGTCTCCCTCTGGCCCAACTCCTAGGTTTTCTAGATGAAGAAGTAACTTGCCTGAGGCCGAGTGGCTAACAAAGTCTCACGCGAGTGGTCTCCTGGCCCTCAGGAAGGCAAGGACCCAGTGTCTCTGGGAGCACAGCCCAGTGACCCCTGTCTCCACCGCACCAGCTCAGGATTCCTGCAGCCCAGCCAGTGAGGAGCTTACAGTTAGCCACCTGTCACTTAATAGATAGCACAGCATGTGCCCATTTGCGGAGAGCGAACACATGTGAAGTGGATTGAAAATGTCTTTCTCAGCCGGGCATGGTGGCTTACACCTGTAATCCCAGCACTTTGGGAGTCCAACGCAGGTGGATTGCCTGAGGTCAGGAGTTTGAGACCAGCCTGACCAACATAGTGAAACCCCATCTCTACTAAAAATACAAAAATTAGCTGGGTGTGGTGGCAGGCGCCTGTAATCTCAGCTACTCGGGAGGCTGAGGCAGGAGAATCACTTGAACCTGGGAGGCAGAGGTTGCAGTGAGCTGAGATCGTGCCATTGCACTTCAGCCCCAGCCTGGGGGACAGAGCAAGACTCTGTCTCAAAAAAAAAAAAAAAAAAAAAAAAAAGAAAGAAAGAAAAGAAAAGAAAAAGAAAATGGCTTTCTCTGTTATGTCTTGCATCAGTCATTAATTTTCTCCCTATTAAATGCCTTAGGCTACCACTAACAAAATTGAATTTGACAGGGATAAATGTGAAGTCCTTAGTGCTAAACATACTACTCCACAAAAACAGGTTCCGGGGAGGTGAGGCAGCTTTTGTGAAAAAATCCTAGGAGACTGAGTCAACAGCGATACCCGGTCCCATTAACAGAAGCATGGGGTCCAGAGAAGAGGAGGAGAAAGTACCAAAGTGGTTTGGGCTGGTCAGATCCAGCCTGAACATTGGGTTTGGTGGTGGAGCTGTGTGTCCAGGCACTGAGAGTTGGGAGCAAGCCCAGAGGAGGCAGCCAGGGAGATGAAGGCTCTTGAAACCATCAGTAAAGAAATGGCAGCTGGGCACAGTGGCTCACGCCTGTAATCCCAGCACTTTGGGAGGCCAAGGTGGGTGGATTGCTTGAGGTCAAGAGTTTGAGAACAGCCTGACCCACATGGTGAAACCCTATCTCTACTAAAAATACAAAAATTACCCAGGTGTGGTGATGTGCAACTGTAATTCCAGTTACTTGGGAGGCTGAGGCAGGAGAATCGCTTGAACCTGGGAGGCAGAGGTTGCAGTGAGCCGAGATGGCACTACACTCCAGCCTGGGCAACACAGCGAAACTCTGTCTCAAAAAAAAAAAAAAAAAAAAAAAGACAATCAAGGATGACCAGACTTTTAAGAAAGGTCTCCAGCATAAAAAAAGAAATAACTGAAGGTGTTTGACCTAGAGAGGATGTTTAGGGGAAATATTCCAGATTCTTGGCTCTAGGGGCAGAGAACAATCTCATTCATGCTCCACGGGGCCGAAGACAACGCGTGCCCTTCTCCACCACCTCGTTAGTAATAGCTGGAAACAACAGGTGTCCCTCGGCGGGTGAATGATGAAACAAACAATGCCACGTCCATGCCGCAGAATTCCACTCAGAAATAACACGGAGCAAACCATCGATCCACACAAGAGCTCGGATGCATCCCGAGGCAGTAATGCCGAGTGAAAACAGCCGGTCCCCAATGCTTACAGGCTGCGTGATTCCATTTGTAGGAGCGTCTCCAAAGTGACAAAACTATGGACATGGAGAACATATTCCTGGCTGCCTCGGGGCAGGGAGGGGATGGGCAGGAGGGCATGGGTGTGGCTACTTGAGGGCAGCATGGGGGCTCCTGGCAGTGACAAGTGTTCTGTATCCTGGCTGTGTCACTGTCACTGTCCTGCTGGCGATATTGGACTACAGTTTTGCACGATGTTGTCATGGAGAAAAACTGGGTATGAAGGTGACGTGAATGGTTCCAGTATTATTTCTAACAATGGCATGTGATTCTACAGTTATTTCAAGACAAGCGTAAATTTTTAAAGATGGGCGGAACCCCACGCGTGTATACGTGGAAGGGTGGGCACACAGAGGGTCTGAAAGACACAGAGCGGGCTTGGCAGCCTTCCGCCACATAGCAAATCTGGAAAGAGAGACTCCTTTTTCTTTTTCAACCTTATTGTCACTTGTCCCAACATGCATACGTGACGTGGTGATTTTGTGTAGCCCCATGAAGTAGCCCAAAATAAATGCATGGGGGAGGGGGAAGGGGAGGACCGGCGAAGAGCTTGGTCTCACCCACCCACGGCTGGGAAAATGCCTACTTCAGGTCTCCAGGAACATTCCGAGCCTGCCATGTGAGAGCCAGGAGTGGGGGGGTGGGTGTGGCCAGCCAACTCTGGCCTCTGTGTCCCCACCCCGCCCCCACCATCCTGAGGCCAGCCTGTCTTGGTGTTCCTTCCTCTTGCTCACAAACCCTCATGGTTCTCCACCAATTCAGCCACTCATGAAAGAGCGAGGGCGGGCGATTGCTAGATCCAACAGCAGCGACCCCCTCCCCCCGACTCTGAGTCACCACCATGGGCCAAGAATCACCCTAAGTACCTTCCAAGTACCATGTGGTGTAATTCTCCTAAGAGCGCCAAGAGATAACGGCTGTGGCTCTGCCCATTCTCCAGATGAGGACTGGGAGGTTGATAACTACGTTGTTCATGCCGGATCCCACACAGAGGGCACTCCCAGCATCACCTCTGAGACCCTCCCTCTGCCTCCCCACCATCCCACCCCCACCTCTGGCCCCTGGGGCCCAGAGACCTTCAGGAAGCTCGGTTGTCACTGTGCACCCCAGCTCCTTGGAGGCAGCTGAAGGGGCCCAATGGAGGAAAGAGCTTGGGGGCAGCAGCTGGTAACCAGCAACGTGGTGACCAAGTGGAAGGGCGGCGTGCTCCCAGCTGACCGGGGGCCTCTCCTGCTTGGAAGCACTGAGAGTTGGATGTGCTCCTGGACCCTGCCGCCAGGACTGTGCTCCTGACTGACCGAGGCCAGGGGGTGGGGGGACGGGCTGGCATCCGCTGCAGAAAAGGAAATGGCCCCAGCTGTAAACAGCCCCAGCACGGGACACTCGGGTGTCAAGATGAGCTTGTGGCTCCCGGGCTGCAGGACCGGGAGGCTGAGCCCTGGGAAGGGGCTGTCTGTCACGGAGGGGACGATGCAGCAACACCCTGTGCCCCTGGCAACCAATGTCCAGTTCTGTGGTGGGCATTCTCAGATTTCAGGGAGGCAGAGGACTAGGAGAGCAGGGTGGAAGATTCTGGAAGGGAGGAGTGGCCTGTCCTGCATTGCTACGCTACCCAGGGGGTCCACATAGCAAATCTGGAAAGAGAGACTCCTTTCCAGAGGAGTTGGTCCTGTGAGTTGGGTCCGCCCCCCAACCCCATGAGAGCCACTTCTCAGAGTAGGGAGGAAGAAACCAAGTAGGAGATGGTCTCAGCCCTTCTGGAAGTTTCTCTTGCTCCATCTTCTCTTCCTTCAATCACATTGAGTAGGGGGTGTGGAATCTGTACAAACTGTGCCTCAGGAAGGAGTCACCATAACTGGTTTTTTTGAGTGTGTTTGAGACAGGGTCTGGCTCTGTTGCCCAGGCTGGAGTGCAGTGGTGTGATCTCAGTTCACTGCAACCTCCACCTCCTGGGCTCAAGCGATCCTTCCACCTCAGCCTCCCAAGTAGCTGGGATTACAAGTGCCCCCCACCACATTCAGCTAATTGTTGTACTTTCAGTAGAAAAGGGGTTTCACCATGTTGCCCAGGCTGGTCTCAAACTCCTGGGCTCCAGCGATCCGCCCTCCTCAGCCTTCCAAACTGGTGGGATTACAGGTGTGAGCCACCGCGCCCAGCCGTAACTATGATTTAAGAGAGGGAAAGACACAGACAGATGTCACCCTTGCCTTCGCCTGTCTTACTCCTCTGCTGGAAAACCCCCTGTGCCCCATTCCCAGTGGGCAAATTCTTTGTTTTTGTTTTTTTCAAGATGTATCTAAGAGTCCCTTGGGTAGAGGGATCTGACCTCCTGCTTGCTGAGGGCAGCTCGCCTGGCACCTCTTGTTTCGATGGTGATGTGTGCCGGGTCCCGTTACTCTCACGCATGTCCACCCTTGGACCATAACTAGGGTCCCTTTTGGGGCACATCTCTCCCTGTGTAGTCGCTCTCTGTGTGTCTCTCCCGTGCCCCCACCAGACTGGGACGCTGGAGCCTGCCTCGCTTCTCTGTCTGTCCCCAGGGCCTGCACGGAGACTCACATACTCAGCAGCCGTGTCTGGAGTGAATGGGCGAGTGAACCCACACAGCGCTGACAGTGTTCCTTTCCTCTCGTTCCTTCCAGGGATCTATAAAGGGCACTGCTTCCGGATCAATCACTTCCCAGAGGACAATGACTACGACCACGACAGCTCGGAGTACCTCCTCCGTGAGTGTCAGGAGGCCTGCACTTGCCTTCTGTGGTGAGGGGAGAGGGTGGGGGAAGGCGGCTGGAGGAAAGAGAGACACGGGGCGTGCACAGGGTGATTTTCTCGGGATGGTCCGCTCGCCCTCTTCCTTATTCAGACTTCAGAATTCGGAGGATGGAGTTTTGCTCATCACTGCCATGACATGCTGGGTATCTCAATGGGGCTATTTAGCTGAGCGGCCTGTGCCCTGGGGAGACCGAGGCCTGAGCAGAGAGGCACTGGGTATGGCAGGTTTCAGAGTTTCTGATAGGCTGAAGCTGGGGCTGGGGCAAGGGAGATGAAAGATACAGGCTCTGTGACTGAGCGTGGTGGCTCACACCTAGAATACCAGCACTTTGGGAGGCTGAGGCGGGTGGATCATGAGGTCAGGAGTTCAAGACCAGCCTGGCCAAGAGGGTGAAACCCCATCTCTATTAAAAATACAAAATAGCCAGGCGAGGCGGCAAGCACCTGTAATCCCAGCTGCTTGGGAGGCTGAGGCAGAGAACTGCTTGAACCCAGGAGGTGGAGGTTGCAGTGAGCCAAGATCGCGCCATTGCACTCCAGCCTGGGTGACAAAGAGAGACTCCATCTCAAAAAAGAAAAAAGATACAGGCTCTGCCCAGGCTGGGCATCCCTGAGGGGTGTGGCACCCCAAGCACACGGGGGCCTGCACACTCAGATATAGTCACACATCAAGACGGCCTCATGGGGCGCTGGGAGACCCAGGGGAGGAGGTGAGGAAGGTGCTGGGGTAGCCTCTGATGCGTGGTCCTGAGGTCTTTGCAGCAACACCTCCGTCCGTGGGCTGCCTGGGAGCCCCCACCAGCTCCTGGGTCCAGTGGCTGCGTGGGGTCCCCAGACTGAAGCCCAGAAGTCACAGCACAAGCTCAACCCCAAATGACAAACCCAGCCCCCACACTGACTCCAGATCTCATCCGTGGGCTGCGGCGGAGAAGCCTGGAAATGGAAAGATAGCACCGTTTTGGAGCCATCTTCCCCTCTATGTTAGCAAAACACACAAAGAGCAGCTCACAGCAGCACCCCTGGGGCTCGGGCCCAGCCTTGCTGATGGAGAATCGATACCAGCGCCCTCAGAGAGAGCACAATTCACTCTGCACCTGCTTATGGATCTTTTTTTCTAAGAGAAAAGATTTTGATTCTGAGTCATCTGGTGAAATAGAACAGCACGCGGTTCCCATGGAGCCTGGGGCAGTGTCAGGCTGCTGCAACCAGGCCCAGAACGTGAAATAATTTGGCCACAGCTCTGCCTCCCATCCTTCCTCCCTCACTTCTTCCTCCTCCTGCCTGTGCTCTGGTCTGCTCACTGGACGCCCACACTGAACCAAACAAATGAGATTCCCACAGGGCCACCAGAGATAGTTGTGCAGGTTGCGCACTGCGCAACTCAAGGGATGTCATGTCCATAAATTATGTATGAATATTCCTCCAGTTGTACAGTGCATGCCTGCACAACCATCTACAGAGGCCCTTGATGCTCAGCCTGGCTGGGATGGCTCAACTGAAAATCAACCCTGGCTGGGCATGGTGGCTCACACCTGTAATCTCCCAGCACTTTGGGAGACCAAGGTGGGTGGATCATTTGAGGTCAAGAGTTCCAGACCAGCCTGGCCAATATGGCGAAACTCCACCTCTACTAAAAATACAAAAATCACCTGGGTGTGGTGGCGGGCACCTGTAGTCCCAGCCACTGAGGAGGCTGAGGCAGGAGAATTGCTTGAACCCGGGAGGCGGAGGTTGCAGTGAGCCGAGATTGTGCCATCCACTCCAGCCTGGTGACAGAGCAAGACCCCATCTCAAAAAAAAAAAAAAGCAGATAATCAACTCAAACTCAGAATCTGCCCTTCTCTGCCCAATCCAGGGCAATCAGGTGGTTCTTAAAATTCTGGGGGTAGATGTGCCCATGGCCCAATCCTGGAACTATGAAGAAGCAGGCGTAGAAACCAACCGTCCCTCTCCATTTCCCACAAGCTCCGCTGAGGTTCTGGGCATTGGCGCTGGCTATTCTTTACTCACCTGTCTCTGTCCCACTCATGGTCCCTGAGCTCTCGGGTCTCTTTCCGGATTGGCCTCAAGATGCAGTAGCCCCGAGGTCAGCCCATGCGGCTTCCCGATCTCCCAGCAGGAAGCAGATGCTGCACTCTAACAGGGTGAATGAAGGATGTTTACAGAAGAACATTTACAAATGTGTGGGTGAAGTGAAGGGAAATCCACCAGGGCTGGAGAGCTCCCGGGGCCAGCAACAGCCGGGAGCCCTTACGCTCCTCAGGCTGGTCAGGTGAGGGGGCAGGCATAGGGCATTTCTCCTGCCTGGCAGGAGCTGTGGCCGTCAGGAAGGAATGAATGCCGCCCCTTCACCCGCAGCCCAGCAGAACTCCCTCACCGACACCCTTGTCCAAAGGCCAGAGGCAGGAGCCCAAGGATTCAGGCCACACAGTCAGCTTCCTGGGGCTCAGGGCAGGATGGGTAAGGGTGGAGTGAGGGTCTGGAAGAGGGAAAAAAATGAGTGAGTCCTCTGGGGAGGGCTTGAGGTGGGGAGGGCTGCAGAGTGATTTTCCCGGATAAAATGAAGGAGACAGCGCGACCGCAATTAGAGCTCATTGGGGAAGGCCATGTTCTCCTTAAGCGTATGCTGTGGGGAAGGCAGCCAGGTTCATTAACAAGCGCAGAGACGCACGTGGAAGAGACAGCTTGACGGCTTTCGGGCCTGTGGTCTCAGCTGCTGGCGGAAGCCAGGGCGGGGTGGGGCTGAACTGACTTCCCAAACAGGGAGGTGTTTTTCTACTCAGTGGCAGAAACAGGGATATCTGGCCCTAAAACCAAGCTCTGCATGTGTCTTTGATCATCTTTTATCTCCAGAGTACAGGTGCCTGCGAGCTTGGAGCCAGAGGGGCTGAGCAACTTTCAGAGACAGGCCAAGGTCATGGTCACCACAGGCACCTGGCATGTGTTTCCAGGGCCACCCTGAGTTCTAATATTTCGTCTTCTGGTCTCTGTCCAGACTTTGGCTCCCCAAAATATGTAGAAGCACAAGAGGGAGGTCCCTGGAGGCTGATGTTTGCAAGAAATGAGGGTTCATGAGAGTTTGTTTATTCATTCATTTAACAAGTTATTACAGCCAGGCACAGTGGTTCACTCCTGTAATCCCAGCACTTTGGGAAGCCAAGGCAGGAAGATCAGTTGAGGCCAGGAGTTCCAGCCTGGTCAACACAGTGAGACCTTGTCTCTACAAAAAAATAAAAATAAAGGTAAATGAGCCAGACATGATAGCACGTGCCTCCAGTCCCAGCTACTCAGGAGGCTGGGGTGGGAGGATGGCAGCCAGGGAAGTCGAGGCTGCAGTGAGCCGCAATCGTGCCACCGCACGCCAGCCTGCATGACAGAGCAAGACCCCATCTCTTAAAAAAAAAATGTTACTGTGGGCCTACTATGTGCCAATCACTGTATTAGACTCATGGAGAACAACAGCAAGGAAAACAGGGCTCTGCCGTCCGGTGGAGAATGGGTGTTCCGGAGAAGGTAACGGAAGCTTGCATGGTAAGGCTGCCAGCAGGAGGCCTGTTCCAGGCGGGTGCAGAGCACCAACCCCGGCAGTCCCAAGGCTATGCTGCTCGCACCCAGCCTTTCACAATTCAGGAAGGAACTCAGCCGCAGCCGTGCATTCTGGAGCCTTCCAGAGAAGCCAGGCTTGTGCTGCTTGTTACAGAACCCCCTGAAGGCCTCTGAGCTCTTACAGTGTCCCTGCCGATTTGCAGATTCACAGCCCAAGATTTGAAAGGGTCACCACCTCACAGCCTGCCTGCCTTGTCTTCCACAGGCCCTGCTGGTCCCAGGGTTTCTGCCCGCCTTGCCCTGGGCCTGGTGTCCTTCTTCAGGTCTGCATTCCCAGTTAGGTGGATAGCTTCTGTGCCAGGCTCTGGGGTGCTGGTGTCGGGCGCTGCTGGGAGTCCACGGTGTGCCTGGGGGTGAGTTAGAAGGAAGTGTCTTGCCTCCTGGCAGACACAGACCCTCTGGCAGGCCTTGATATGACCAGCGGGGCATGGGCTGGACTTCAGCCTCGCTCATCCCTCCACCCCTTAGCCACCTGTGCTGTGCCCGGCCTGCACCACTGTCTGTGGCAATCCCAGCTGGCATCTGCACATCCACAGCTCAGGAATGAGTCCATGTGGCAAGGGATTGGTGCTTGTGTGTCTTACCTGAGCAGGATGGATGGCTCTGAACCAAGCCTGGGCATCCAGTGATCTCAGAGCAACTGGACTGAGCTTTTTTTTTTTTTTTTTTTTTTTTTTTGAAGATGTAGTCTTGCTCTGTTGCCCAGGCTGGAGTGCAATGGCCCAGTCTTGGCTCAGTGCAACCTCCACCTCCCAGGTTCAAGCAATTCTCATGCCTCAGCCTCCCAAGTAGTTGGGACTACAGGCGCCCGCCACTTTATCCAGCTAATTTTTCTATTTTTAGGAGAGATGGGGTTTCACAATGTTGACCAGGCTGGTCTCGAACTCCTGACCTCAGGCGAACCATTCGCCTCAGCCTCCCAAAGTGCTGGATGGACTTCCTTCTCTCGGGCTCCTCTGACCTGTTTGCAGAACGAGGAAGGGTATTGTGGAGGCTGAGGGGAAGGGGATGACTGACCCCAACTTTTCTGGCCAGCACAGCTCAGAGGCACATTTCAGAAACACACAGGAAACTCCATCCCAGAACCCACTCCTGCCAGAAGGAATTGGAGAGGAGGAGGCACCGGAGAGAAGAACTGCCTTTAATGCCCCAGACAATCCCCGCTCTGTGGAGCGGGAGCACACACTGATGCGTTCACAAAAAAGGAGACAAACCCTGCCTTCAGAGGCTGACAGCCCTGCTACCAGCTCAGCTGGCTGGGGAGGGTGACGCCTGCCAGTGCAGCCCGACTCACTGTCCCCTGCGGGGGCCACCAAGGGTCTACGCAGCCCAGCCGAAGGGCTGGAAGACAGCAGGTGGTTGGGAAACGCCAAGCTCTGTGCTTCCCTTTCCCAAGTCTCCCTTCCCTCCCTCTGACCTTCCTCCCACCCCAAACGCTGGAAGAGGGGCACCCTAAGCCCCTACTGGGTGCTTGTCATTTTCTGACAGTGACCCTCCAGTGGGGCATGTTCACTTTCCAGGGCCACTGTAACAAATGATCACAAACTGCATGACTTGCAACAGAAATGCACGGTCATGGCGTGGAAGCCAGAAGCCCAGAGTCAAGGTGTTGGGGACCCTGCTTTCTCTGAAGGCTCAGGGGAGGATCATTCCTCTCTTCCAGCTTTCCCTGGCTCATGGCAGCACCATCGGGTCTCTGCCTCCGTCTTCACAGGCCCTCCCCCTGTGTCTTCTCCTCCTATCAGGTTCTTATAAGGACGCTCATCATTGGATCTAGGGCCCACCAGATTCATCCCAGATGATCTCAGCTTGAGATTCTTAACTGAGTCTGCAAGACCCTTCTTCTTTTTCTTTCTTTCTTTTTTTCTTTTTTTTTTCTTTCTTTTTTTTTTTTTTTTTAGTAGTTGGGATTACAGGGGAGAGCCACCACACCTGGCTAAATTCTTTCTTTTGTATTTTTAGTAGAGACAGAGTTTCACCATACTGCCCAAGCTGGTCTGGATCTCCTGACCTCAGGTGATCTGCCTACCTCAGCCTCCCAAAGTGCTGGGATTACAGGTGTGAGCCACTGCGGTCAGCCAAGACCCTTTTTCTAAATAAGATCAATTCACAGGTCCTAAAGGTTAGGATGTGGATGTATTCAAGGGAGGCCACAATTCAACTCCCTACAGTTAGGTGTAACTATCCCCAAGTTATAAAAGGAGACTGAGGTGGTCACAAAGTCAGCTGTCTCCAGTCAGCTGGTCGGTGGCACAGCGAGGTTAGTCAGTGGCAAAGCCCTGGTGTCAGGGCTACAGAGGTGGCTCTGTGGACCCTGTGGGTCACCAGCATCCCTCTTGGCCCAGCCACACCACCCTTGTGACTTCAGGTCAGTTGTGAGGTCCCACACCCTTGTCTGTCACCTTGAGGATGATGATGATGATGATGAAGGTATAGAATGGCGAGGCCCAGTGCTATGCACCTTACATAGGACATTGGTGCTATGAGGAACCTCATGCCACAGATGGGAAGCTGAGTTTTGGAGGGTGAAAGTGATTGACCAAGGTGCACAGCCAGCGTGTCACAGCAGGGCCCGCGCCCAGACCCACCTAATGCCGATGCCTGTGCCCTCAACCACTGACCAGGACCCCGCTTTGTGGACACTGCTCCCCAGCCTTCCAGGGGCTTCACAGAGACCGCGTTCATGCAAGGGCTTAGCTGGCTTTTCAGGGTCACCGAAATGTGATGCGGTTTGCTGCTTTCACGGCTGTTACTGTGGCCTCCCTGGTGCCCACTTCCAGGGAGAGACTAAGCAAGAGGTAGACAGATGTGACTCCAGGGTGATGTGCAGGCCTGGAGCCCCCACTTGCACCTGATCCAATGGCCCCAAGCCGGCCCCAGGCCCTGGCCCACCTCGAGTCTCCAGGTCCCGATGGGAATCTCAAATCCCAGGGAAGGGCCTGGAGCTGCAAGGTTCCTGGGAGACACATGCAGCCATGCCCGGAAGAGCAGCCGATCTCACTGTCCTCTGCTTTGTGCCCCTCCTCCCTGGCCAGGCATCGTCCGAGCCTCCAGCGTCTTCCCCATCCTCAGCACCATCCTGCTTCTGCTGGGGGGCCTGTGCATCGGCGCCGGCAGGATTTACAGCCGCAAGAACAACATCGTCCTCAGCGCCGGCATACTCTTCGTGGCTGCAGGTGAGCTGCCAGCCGCGGCTGGCGCTGGGCCGGGGGCTGGGGACACGGGAGTGCCTGTTTCACGTGGTCCCCACTGCCGGGGAGTGCGCCTCCTTGGGGGAATGACGACGTAACTTCGCTGCACACTCAAGTGACTTTTAAAGTCCTGGTGTTCAGAAAGTGAAATTGAAGTGAAATTCGTGCAAGATAAAAGTAACTCTCTTGAAGGGCACCATCCAGCGGCACTTGGTGCTTTCCCAACGTGGTGCAAACGTCCAAGACATTTCTGTCACCCCAAAAGGAAGGTGTGACTGGGCCGAGAGGGATGTTCCTGATCCACAGCATCCACAGAGCCACCTTCAGGGCTCCAGCACTAACTGTGACCTCACTCTGCCACTGACTAGCTGACGTGGGACAGCTGACTTCAGTGAGAATGAGGAACAGCTCCTGAACAGGGCTTCCTGTTGGGGTGACAGAAACACTTTGGATGCTTGTACGACGTTGTGAAAGCACCAAATGCCACTGGATTGTGCCCTTCAAAAGGTTGACTTTGATCTTGCCTGGTTAGGTGGGTCATGAGACGTCCGTATGGGGGTGCTGCATGTAGTTAGGACCAGCTCTCCATGGCCTGATTCGGAGCCGTCTCTCAGACATACTGTTAAGTGAAAAAACAAGCAGCCATTGTGCAAAAAAATATAGAAGAGTGTGTGCGTGTGTGTGTGTGTGTGTGTGTGTGTGTATGTTAGAGATTTTTTTTCTGGAAGGACATATGAAAGAAAATAACAGTAGCTGCCTTCAAGAGGGGAACTGGGGGCTAAGAGTTTATTATATACCTCATTTGAACTTTGTACTCTATTACCCATTCAAAAGTAATTACTGAAAAGAAAAATTAGCAACCAGAATAAATAAATACTCATCAGAGAGGGGAGTGGCCACCTGTTCCCTGCCCCGCCGGTCCGGCTGTGGGTCTAACCTCTGCCTCTCTCCCTCCCTGGTCCCGCCCCCCACTCCCCGCTTCCCTTTCAGGCCTCAGTAACATCATCGGCATCATCGTCTACATCTCCAGCAACACGGGGGACCCGAGTGACAAGCGGGACGAAGACAAAAAGAACCATTACAACTACGGCTGGTCTTTTTACTTTGGAGCTCTGTCTTTCATTGTGGCTGAGACCGTGGGCGTCCTGGCTGTAAACATTTACATTGAGAAAAATAAAGAGTTGAGGTTTAAGACCAAACGGGAGTTCCTTAAGGCGTCTTCCTCTTCTCCTTATGCCAGGATGCCAAGCTACAGGTACCGGCGACGGCGCTCCAGGTCCAGCTCCAGGTCCACCGAGGCCTCGCCCTCCAGGGACGTGTCGCCCATGGGCCTGAAGATCGCAGGGGCCATCCCCATGGGGGAGCTGTCCATGTACACGCTGTCCAGGGAGCCCCTCAAGGTGACCACCGCAGCCAGCTACAGCCCCGACCAGGAGGCCAGCTTCCTGCAGGTTCACGACTTCTTCCAGCAGGACCTGAAGGAAGGTTTCCACGTCAGCATGCTGAACCGACGGACGACCCCCGTGTGAACCACCTGCCCCTTCTCTCAGCTCCGGCCTCTCCCCAGAACGGCTCTTTTTGTCCCACAGGATGGCATGTGATCCTCAAGACGACGAACAATGAACTAAAGCCAAACGCAGCCTCCCTGGTCTCCAGAGGTGGCCTGGGCTGGCTTTGCACAGAGGTTGTGCTGGGAGACCCGACTCGGGGCTGCGGGTGAAGCTGAAGGCTGACTTTGTACCCCTCCCGCAAAAAGGGTGTTTTGATGCCCCAGGGTCTCTGAAATCTCTCAGGAAGCCCCAGAGCTTTCCTGAGGCTGCACAGCCTTGACCAACTCGGGAAGACAAAATTGAGCCATTATCTCCTCTTGGAAACGAATCTTGCCAGAAAAACGGGATTTCAGGGCCTTCCTTCCGTGCCTGGGCACCGGGTCACCAGAAGGCTCTGCTGGATGCCAAGGGGTCTCTGGGCTCTGGTCAGCTGCTTCTGAACCTGAGATTCCTGTGTCGAGCCAGAAACGAGACCACCGAAGCTCGCTCCCTTCCTCTCCATCTCTCCCTCTCTTCGTGACCCTGGTGGTGGCCTGTGATGCGGAAGACAGCTCTGCAGCCAACTGGTGCTTCAGCCTTTGCGCTGTCCCGGGGCCGGCTTCCCCCGGCCTGTGGAGGAGGCCCAGGTAAAGGCCGGGGCTGTTGCTGGCTCTCCTCTCTGCTTCTGGAAGTTTCCGCCTCAGAATGGGCAGGACAGACCCACTGACTGGACTTCAGAGTCTGGAGGGTTCCATCGGTCCTGGAAAAGAAAGGTGGCCATGTGGCCCCTTGCTGTAGCCCTTGTCACAGCCCCAAAGAGCAGCTCTGTCCCCTGAACATTCTGGGTCCCGGGGGAAAGGTGGACAGACACCCCCGATTCTGACTGGCATTTGACAACAGGAGCCTGAACTTCTGTGCAAGAAAGGGAGACCTGAGGGTGAAGAGTGACCAAAAAAAACAAACAAAAAACCTGGAGAACAGAAATCCCCTTCCTAGGTGGTTACGAATCCTGACTTCCTGCAAATCAGTGCCAAGAGAGCAACTTACATTCATTTCTTCATCTTAAAAAGTAGCAACAACTCCTATTGTTGTAATTTATTCCGCCACCACCTAACAGGACGGAGTGGAGGAAGTTTGGATAAATGGGCCGAGCTGGGTTCCTCTTCCTCCCTGCGGAGGGGGGATCTCAGCACTTTGTTCAGAGCTGAGGATGTGGGTTCTGTGTTTTCCAGTTTTCCCACCCATTTTTTTCTTCCCCCTCCTGACGCAAGCAAAGAGTGAGGACGCGTGTGCAGGCTTAGAAGAACCCTCCAGAACATGGAACTTTTAACCCTCTTTTATATAAAACATGTGCTTTCTAAAGAGAAATCATTTCTTACTTTTTGAGACTCCTTGATCCACGCTGGACAGTCGCCTGTAGTCCTGGTAGCTGTCGTGCTGGGAAGTCACAAGCGCATCCTTACCTCAGCTACCTGCTCACGGAGCCCGTGGTGGACTCGGCCCCCTGGGGTTCAGACCCAGATGTCATCGTCTGTCTCATCCTCCTTTGCCCCCAGGAAAGGATACATCTACCCGTAGTGGCCCCAGCAGACTGCGCTGTGTGCCAGGGAGCTGAAATGGGGCTGGTCAGGAGCCCTGCGTGCCATGCTTTGGGAGCCCTCACTCCCGTCGGGGTTGGCATCGTCTGGTGGCATGTCCAAATGCACACAGCAGTGGACACTAAAAGCAACAGAACTGGAGATCTGCACCTGCTCTAGGCTAGCCCCGTCCCCACACCCCACAACCTCGACTGCCATGACACCGTCCCACCAGGCTGAAGGCGGGGAACGCCCTCCCCAGACCTGCCGTCCAGCAAGGACCCGAGACTGTTCTGTGATTTCCAAAAGCAAGGCAGCCACGCTGTTCTGTTTTCCATCCCCGCCGCCCCAGAAGTTTCTTAGCATTCCATGGAGAAAGCTGTGTTCCAATGAATCCTACCTCTTGCCCAGTCCCAGGCAGAGCATGCAGCGCCCACTCTAGGGACCAAGACAGAGTAGTAAGAAGGGGTCAAGCCGGGAGCAAAACACCTCAGACACCTGGGCCTTCTCAGCCTTCTCCCGGAGGCCAGCCGGGTCTCCGGGGACCCTGGGCCCTGGGCCGCCCCTTCCTGGCCCTCCCGCTGCATCTCAGACCTGACGCCTGCCCGGGGGGATGTGGTGGCCTGTGCCCGCCTTCTCGCCCTCCTCCCAACCCACCCCCTTGCCCCCACCCTGTGTGTTTTGCCAGTTAAGCACCTGTGACTCCCTACTACTGGTTTTGGGTTGTTAGTTCTGTCTTTTTTTTAATTAAATAAAAACATTTTTAAAATGTTCTCTTCTTGATGTGGGGAGGTGGGGGAAGAACCCCCCCCAAAAGTCTTTGTGGGCATTTGGGGTAATAGATGTCCCTGGGTCTGGGGTACATTGTGGACTGCCCCCCCCCCCAAGAAAAGAAGGAGGCCGGGGGCAGGAGGCCAGACTCTGGCCAAGGCCACTTTTTCTGGCTTTAGTCTGGGTCACTGGCCACCTCCCCAGTACCAATGGCTGGTTTCAGACTTCCAGGTGGTGCCACTGAGGCTTTTCACCTACGAGCCAGAAGATACACGGGCTCTCCTGGGTGGGGCGTGGGTCCCTGGGCAGCCAAGAGAGCCAGGCCTGTCCTGCAGTTGGGCGGCCGGCTGGACAGAGCCACAGCCACCAAGGCACTAAAGTTGCCCCCCACGTTGCCACTAGCCAGCCTCCTCTCCCCACCCCGGATACTGAAATGATGAAGAAGTAGAGTGTCCCTAGAACTAAAATGTGAGCTTCATGGATGGCAAAGCCAGAAGGGAGGATGTGGCTCAGGCCAGAGGCCACATGGGGTTCCTCCGCTGTCACTGGACAGTCCCAGGCAGGGCATCCAACCACCTCTGCCCCAGGCCACAGGTAAGGAGCTGAGAGGGGCCAGGGGGACCCCTCCAGCCTTGGCTGTGGCCAACAAACTGCACAGGCCCCAGCCGACGACCACTGCAGACAGCCAGTTTCACCCTCGCAGGTGAGCACAGACTGGACCTCGACCTTCCGCTCGGAGGCACAAGGAGGGATAAGCAGCGCCCTCTCCTGGTTCTGCCCAAGCTGCAGCCCAGGAGACCTTCGCATCCAATTACACTTGGCCTTTTCCTTCGGACTTTGACCTTGAGTTTTCTTGCTAAGAGCCACAGGCTTCCCTGCTTCTCCTGGAAACACGAGACACCAAACTCTTGCGCCTCCTTCAAGAGAACTTTGGTCTCATGAAAAGCTTTCCTGCCCGAGTCCCAGCGAAAAGCATGGAGCGGAAAGGCTGAGGGTCCAGCTTCCCGATATCCCTGCCTCGGGGCTGCAGACACCTCTCTTGGCTTTTCTGAACTTTCTGTCCCAGCTTCTTTTTTCTGTTGTTGTTTAAGACAGAGTTTCACTCTTGTTGCCCAGGCTGGTGTGCAATGGCGCAGTCTTGGCTCACTGCAATCTCTGCCTCCTGGGTTCAAGCAACTCCCCTGCCTCAGCCTCCCGAGTAGCTGGGATTACAAGTATGTGCCACCATATTTGGCTAATTTTGTATTTTTAGTAGAGATGGGGTTTCTACATGTTGACCAGGCTGGTCTCGAACTCCCGACCTCAGGTGATCCACCCACCTTGGCCTCCCAAAGTGCTGGGATTACAGGCATGAGTCACCGTGCTTGGCCTTCTGCCCCAGCTTTTAACCTTCTTTTCTTTTTTGAAATGAAGTCTTGCTCTTGTTGCCCAGTCTGGAGTTTAGTGGCGTGATCTCAGCTCACTGCAACCTCCACCTCCCACGTTCAAGTGAATCTCCTGCCTCAGCCTCATAAGTAGCTGGGATTATAGGCGCACACCACCACACCTAGCTAATTTTGTATTTTTAGAAAAGATGGGGTTTCTCCATGTTGGCCAGGCTGATCTCAAACTCCTGACCTCGTGATCCACCCACTTCTGCCTTCCAAAGTGCTGGGATTACAGACGTGAGCCACCACACCGGCCTTAGCCTTCTTTCCTCTTATCTGAGACAAGCACCTGGGGAAACTGATGTGCTGAGCCACCAGGCCCTGGAGCCAGGGGAGCTCAGGCCTTTGCCCAGCCTCACTTGCTGACCTGCTGCCAAGCTCCGAGCAGTCATTCCACGCTGCCCAGAGTCCACACCCTGAGCCAGAACTTCTGCGTCTCCCATTTATTCTTAGTCCCTAGGTAACTGGCTCAGCACAAGCTTCTCAGCCATCCTGGGTGGACTCCCGGGCCAGTCTGCACTGAGTGACTTGGTGCCGCCTCCCATGGTCACGTGGTCACATGCTTAGTTCAGATAAAACCCTGCCTTCATAACACAAGAGCTGACACAGAAATAATCATTCTAGTTCCCTAATCAAAATGCTGCTGGCTAAATGATGGGTGTGGCAAAATCTCAGCAACCACTAAAGAACTTATTCATGTCACCAAATACTACCTGTTCCCCAAAACCTATTGAAATAAAAAATAAATTTAAAAAAAAATGCCGCTGAGAGCTGGTCACTGCGGTTCATGCCTGTAATCCCCGCGCTTTGGGAGGCCAAGGTGGGTGGATCACTTGAGGTCAGGACTAAAAATACGAAAATTAGCCCATCTCTACTAAAAATACGAAAATTAGCCAGGCGTGGTAGCTCACGCTTGTAGTCCCAGCTACTCAGGAGGCTGAGGCAGAAGAATCACTTGAACGCAGGAGGCAGAGGTTGCAGTGAGCTGAGATGCGCCACTGCCCTCCAGCCCAAGCGACAGAGTGAGACCCTGTCTCGAAAAAAAAAAAAATGCTGCTGAAAGGCCCCACTCCTCCAGCCCAGTAGCCCCATTTTACCCTGGCACTGGTGTTACTTAGAATAAGCTGACTATATGACCAACAACCCCAAGCATATATAGGCTTCCTAGACTAGAAGTTCATTTCTCCTATAAAGTCCACTCAGCTGTGCGGGGGTGGGTCCTAGGCTCCACCCAGTCATGCAGAGATTCAGAGGCCCATGGAGCCTCTGCCATCTTCAACATGCGCTTCTTAGGTTGCCCTGGGCATTGATGTCCAGCGGGCAGTTGGAGGGAAGAGAGAATAGATGATCTTGAGGGTGGAGACCCTTGTGAGCGATTTTAACGGACCAGGAAGTTGTGACTTCACCCTGTAACCACATGCCATTGGCCAGAACTCAATCATGTGGCCACATCTAGGAGCAAGGGAAGGTGGGAAATGTAGTCTAATCCTGGGGAAAAGGAAAACAGCTTGGGGAAGAGCTGGTCAGTGTCAGCCCCCTGATCTCTATCTTTTGTTCGGTAACTCCCTCCTTGGCCTCCCCACACCAAACTCTTTTGGGCATGCCCACTTTAAAGTGATAGCTTTGCCTGGGACTGCATCAACCTGTGTGTCCCGAGACCCTCCTTCAGCTCCAACGTGATGTCTGACCTCTTCTCTGCTTCAGATGCCCCATCTGTAGCATGAGTCCATACTACCTTCAACCCAGGTTGGAGGGACAGTCTTGAGCTTGTGCCTAGACCCAAACAAGAACCACAGAATTATTGAACGTCATGCTCAACAGAAGTGGCAGATACTTGAGGAATCATCTCATTCAACTTGATCATTATACCCACGATCAAGATGCCGGCAGGAAAATGCATACATTTGATCATTATAGAAAAGGATCGGGCCCCAAGAAGGAAGGAGGCGGATGGAAGGAAGGAAAAATGAAAGGAAGGAAGGAAGAAAATAATTTTTTGAGAATTTTCATAACAACCATGAAAGGGAGATATTGCTAGCCCAGTGGTTTTCAAGTAGGGGCAATTTTGCATCCCAAGGGGAGTTTACTAATACATGGAGATATTTTGGGTTTTCATAACTTGAAAGGGGGTGCTGCTGACATCTATCTGGCAGAGGCTGAGGATGCTGCTAAGTATCCTTCGATGCACCAAACAGCCCCCCTGCTTCATCCCCCGAAAGAATAATCTGCCACAAATATCAATCATGCCGAGACTGAGAAGCCCTGAACTCACCTGATTCAACAGTGAGGGAAACTGAGGCACAGAAAGGGTGACACTACTCATGCCTGATCACGTGGCAAGTTTTTGGTGCTGAGTGTATCCAGGCTGTGGGCTTACTAGGAAGACACATGGATTTCATCGCAGCATCTCCTTTCCCTGTCACCCATTTAGCTTTCTGCCTTTTGCTTCTTCATTTTGAAACAACAGTTTCAGAAACAGACATTGAAGTTGGGGGAAAGGAATGGGAAACGGCCCCGGTCCCCAGAGAAGGGGGTGTTCCTGGAAGCCTGTGTCCCTGTGTCTGGGAACAGAATGATGATGGAATTCAATCAGAACAGGCAGCAGGAGAGCAAGCCCAGAAGCCCGTGCCAGCCTGACTGAGGGACTCACCCTCGTCCCGCAATAGCCCAGCAGCTGCAGTGAGGTGGTGGAGGACCAGAGGGATGGAGCTCAAAACCCAGCTCCTCCACTCCAAGGGCAGCACTGGGCAAGTCACCCAGCCCGAGCCTCTCTCAGAGCCGGTTCCCTCCTCGGTCACAGGAGGCAGGTGACATCCCCCAGCCCGCTTTGTTGGGAGAATGAATTACATTTTTGACAAGGAAATGCACATAAACACCCCAGTTCAGTGACTAGCATTCGAGTGAGTGTTCAGAAATGTTTGTCGACAAACAATACTCAAGGAATTTCCCAAAGCGGATTATTCTAGAACAGCCCTTGGAGGCCGCTGCTCTGAGAGTCAGACTCGGAGGATGCCCGGTGCACTGCACTTTGCTTTGGCAGAAACCTGCCATTCATTCTTGAGTCTTGCACCTGGGAGCAGCCCCTGCTGTCAGCTCCTCCTATTGCTGAAGCTCATTTGTTTTCACACTCAGTGTCCCAGGCTGCCGGGCAGAGGTGGTCAGGGCAGCTGTGTGGCCGCTGCTTTCTTTGCAGGCCCTGGCAACCCCCAAACCCTGGTGAGGCCCTCCTGGTTCCATGAAGGTGATGCAGGCTGCAAGGCGTCCTGTTCTGGGTCCCTAACATGGAACCAGAGGAACTGGTATCAAGGAAGGGCCTGGGAGAAAGGGGGTGCATGGATGGGAAGTAAGAAAGCAAGGGAGACCTTTCTGCAGGGAGCTGGGAACCAGCCATGTTCTGAGCCTTCAACTCCTGGCACTGGTACCCAAGACAGCATCCCTCCCTCACCACCCAGATCTCCCTAGGGGGTGGGGATGGGAGGGGAGCTTAGAATCAGGGACCTTAGAATCCAGAGGGTGGAAGATGGGGCAGATATACCTGAGGCAGATAATTTCAAACTTGTAGCTTTCAATAAAAC